AGATAAGAAACCTTCCTGTCCTCACACCAGATCAGGTAATTATCTACTGTATGTTATACTTTTGTGGGTTGCCAACTTAATACCTGTTTTTCATCTTATATCTCCAGCACCCAAATCTGTGCCAGTTCATACCTGTGTCACATAAATCAAGTGGTTCCATGGTGAATCGTACTCATAGGTATGCAGTCACTTTCCTCGTGCCTTCCAATGTCCTTATTTCCCCCTCCTTTGTCACTACTGGCTTTATTGATACTCCATCTCAACAGCATCTTTTCTCTATTTCTTTAATATCAAATAGACTACTGCCAGGTCCAGTTTGAGTACTGGTGAAATACTGATTCCATTAGAATAGTATTCCCAATGTAGTTGTTCCTTCCTTCTTCTTTTCCCATTGTAATAAAATTCCTGGTTTCTGTGTGTTGTTTTCTTGTCAGCTCCCCATTTGGACATTCTGATCACCAAGGTTCACACTGAGCTAAATATTCCTTGACGCACCTTATTCACACTCACCTGAACAAGAACATGGGCCAACCATGAGAGAAAAGTCATACATGCCCCAGCCATGACATCTCATGATCACATGGCTCATAAGACATTCCCAGTTTTGTACTGGCTGTACTGTACTGTACAGTACAGTTTTGTACTGGCTGTACTGTACATGAATTTGGTGCTGCTTTCCTTCTTTCATATATCACTCCATATTTATAAATCACTCCATATTCCAGGATGGCATAAAAATATTATGTTAAAAACAAGATCAATACAAGGTTAAAGCTGTTTCCAAGAGGCACAAAAATCAGTACAATGTTGGCACCTGCCTGACCTCCATGCACAGGGAGTTCTGAAGAATGGAGTCAGTACACTGAAATCTCTTATCTGGGTGGACTTGAGCTGGGCTGCAAGTTCACATGGAGTCACCAGGGGCATGTCATCCAAATACCTCCATGACCTTCTCCAACCTGCAGATGTTTTCAACTTCAACTCCCATCAGCTCCTGCCTGTATTGGAATGCTGGGAATTGTCACCCAAAATGTCTGAACGGTGCCAGATTGGGAGAAAATGGCACTAAACCATCTTTTCTTGCTTGCCAAACTGGAAGCACATTTGGTTGCGAGAGATGGCTTTTTTGGTGGCTTCTCCCAGACACTGGAACCTCTTTCCAAGGAATGCTAGGTTGATTTCTTCTCAGCTGCTTTTTGCCAAGGGGCAATGACATTGTGTTCAGACAGGTCTTGAGCATTTAAACTATATTGCTGCTGAAGGCTCTCCCTCCCTCTCACTCTCTCGTTTTCTCTCTCGCTCTCATTTTTTTCTTTTTAAACTAGCTGCTGCTTTCAATTGATGTATTTGCACTGTATTTTTAATCAATTTCTTACATTTTTATGCATTTCTGCTTTTATTGGACTTTGCTATCCTTGGCTGCCTTGAGTCTCATTTTTGGCAGGAAGGTGCATAACTTTAGTGAATCAGTAGAATAAATGTCTCACGGCTGCACTTTAGGCTATTCAAGCAGCAGTTTAGGGCATGGGAGCTCCTGAAGTGGAGTTTTTGCCCTCCAGCCTTATAATGCTGGAAGCACCAGACCATGAGGAAAGATTCAGCAATGTGGTGCCCTCTCAATTGTGTTTGCAAAATGTGATGGGCTTGGGACCTCACACATAGCCTGAGGTTCTTCTGTTAGTGGAGCATTACACAACCCTGAAGGGGTCCTAAGAACAGCTTTGCTCTTTAATAATCAGAGAAAATGAATTCAGGAAGGAGGAATGTGTTGTTCTTCCTGCCTGTCATTAATATCCCAAGCCATGATTCTTCTCATACACCTTTTCCAGGGCAGAGAGTAGGGAGATTTATGTGCTAGGAATTGCTTCAAGAGCACACATATTTCCCAATCCTATTTCCTGTGTCTGAAACTACTGTATGCTGAGAGATCCTTACCAGAGTACTGTGTCAACAGGGCTCTGCATTTGACCCGTAATTAGAGCCATACCCAAGGACGTTTCCCCCAACAATGGCTTTGCCTCTCTCACTCTCATTTAAAAATATGCCCCTGTTTAATAGCTTCGGCTCATTCAGCTGTTCACAAGGGCCTTGCCTGTCCCAAGGGACTGCATTTTAACTCTACAGGAAAGGTAGGTGTGAGTGGGAGCAGGTGGCTGCCATCAACAGCATCCAGTGTCCAGGCAAAGTGAGCGAGTGCCAAATATACCCTTGGCATGTCGTTATCAGATAACCAGCCACACCTATACTAAAAGTCCCATCCCCGTTAATGTGATCCAGCACAGGAAGAGCCTTTCCCGACCTCCCTGTCATTCACACTCCCATTCTGTTGTTCACCCTAGAACTGGAAGTCGCCTATCTCCTTTGCTGCTGGTGGTGCCAGGGAGAGAAACGTTTCTCTTTATTTCTGTTCTCTCCTTTATAAGAGACGGGTACGGTCCACTAAGAGCAAGGAACTGAGCCAAGTACAAGCTGGCTTTTGTACAGACAGAGAGCAGCACTGCTTCTTTGTTGCACTAGCCCTAGTGCAATGTGCAGTGTTCCCTATTCCCGGCTGCCACCATTTTTTGCGCTAAGCATGGCCTTGGTTAATAACTTAAGTATGCACGGGACTTCAGCCCTGTGCATACTGACTTGGAAGGCAGAATGAATTAGCAATGTGACAAGTTGCAGAAGTATTTGTCATCCTTCTACTTTTCTATATTTCGGTGTGCTAGACCCTGTAATTGAAATAGATGTATTTGGCATTGTCACCACTTGATGCTCAACACTGTGAAGGAGCAAAATATATGTGTTTATTGTGACTCAAAAGTTAAGTAAACAAAACAAACTGGCACTTGTTGGCTGCATAAGCATTCATTCTTCTGAGTCAGTAAGTGCTAGAGGCACCTTTGGTAGAAATTACAGCTGCAAGTCTTTGGAGGTAGATCTCCATCAGCTTTGCATATTTGGATCCTACAAAGTTTGCTCATTCCTCCTTTCAGAACTGTTCCAGCAATGGCAGGTTTGATGGGAACTATTGGTGAAAAGCAACTTGACACATAGTATCAACGTCTTAGGGTCTGGGCTTTGACTGGGCCATTCCAGAACATTCAGGTTCTTGTTTTTAAGCCACTTCAGTGTGTTACTTTGGCAAGGTTTACAGCTAGGCTTATTGTCCTCCTGGAAAGAAAGCCACTGTCCCAGGCTTGCACCCCTTGCAGACGGAAACAGGTTTTCCTCTAGAAGTGCTCTGTATTTGATTCCATCCACTCATCCCATTCCCTTGGAAGATCATCTTCAAACTATAATGCTATCACCATGTTTCACCACAGGTATAGCATTTTCAGAGCAATGATCACTGTTGGTTTTGTGAATTTTGCAGTAAGGCCAAAAAGTTCAGCTTGGTCTTATCTGACTAGACAACCTTTGCTCACATGTTTGCTGTTTATGCAATCTCCAATAGGTTTTCTCAGTAAAGGCTTTCTTTTCAACACTCTTCCATAAAGCCCAGATTTGTGCCCATCCAGGTGACAGCTGTCCCAGGACCTGGTTCTGCCATCTCAGATGTGGGGCTGGCTATGGGGATTGTCACAAAACACACCTGCAGGTCAGAATGGTCCACTGTGTTTAGGAGTGCACAATGTGAAGTTACTGTAGAAAGTCTTCTAGGACTTCTGTAATTGGAACAAAGTAATTTTTTCTTACTTTTTCCCTTTAACACACAGCTTGAAGAAGACCTCTGCTAAACTTGAAGGCTTGCTTACTACTTTGGGATGTTTTTGGCTAGCCTAGAAAAGTTCTCATGTTGTTTTACCTCACACTACCTCTCTCTGCCTGCTCCCAATATTACCAGCAATGCTTCCTGCAGTGCATGTAGTTTGGGGTGAGTGCTTTTGCTCAGTAGCAGAGTGTATGCTTTGCATACGAAGAATCAAATTCCTGACTTCTCTGAGTGGAAAAACACCTGCATAAGACCCTAGAGACCCACTGCAACAATGACATAGGGGGCAGACAGCTGCATTGGGATTCAGGATTGGGACTCTGGTTTTCACCTTGTCCTAAAACAGACTGGGTACCTTTGGTCCAGTCACTGTTTCTCAGTCTAGCAGATAAGAACAGGTTTACCTGTTCTGCTACATCTCACAGGGTTGTTGTGAAGATAAAATGCAGAGGAAGAGAAATATTATTTTATTTATTTATTTAAAGTTTTTCTATGCTGTCCCATTACTAAAAGTCTCTGGAAGGCTTACAACAAACAAAAAACCAAACCACAAAGAACCATAACAACAACAGCACATAACACAACATTATGTGAGTCCCCTTGAATTCCTTGCAGGAAAAAAGGTGGGATACCAACAGAATGGAAGTGTTTAAAATGACTAAAATTAATGGCCCAACTCAGGATAAGGAGGCTTCCTAAGCTGTGGGAACAGAAGGACCCAGTTTTGTGAGGTGTCATTTCATCCACCTTAATCACCACGTGGCAGGACAGAAGTGGTGCAGCCATGATGCCTGTCCTCTTGTTAAGGGTGCCATGATGTTGCCTGCAGATGTTGCCTGTAGAAGTTATTTTCCTTCTTTGGGAAAATTCCCAGTTTCTTTGGGAATTGCTGGACATTCCCAAATCCTGTGGGCTTTGGGAAGTACCTCACATCCCATTCATTTCCAGGGGTCTGCTCTATGGAGGACTAGCACTGGCTACAAACCCACATTTTGGCTGATCCCACTCCCTAGAGGCCTGGTTCTTTTAGTTAGCGGGTCAGAAAGTGCGGCTCAGAAATAACTTCACATCCCACTGGAAAACCTCCCTGCACAGGCAAACACACACGTGGATTTTTAGCGCTCTCCCCCCTCTTTTATTCTCTTCTCCTCCCCCTCTCCCCCCCCCTTCCTAAACGCCTCCTTCAAGATTGCAGCTGGGCCGGGCTCCAAAAGAGCAATAAGAAGAACGCAGGAGTTCAAACTTAGTCACGGGTTGCACAACTTCCATACGCTGGGTGACTATTAACAAGCCGGAGCGGCTGCGGCAGGACAGGAACTGCACCACCAGCCCGATTTTTAAAGAGCTGTTTGATGTTGTTTGTCTACCGTTGGGACTTAGCATGGCTCCCTTTGGAAGGAATCTCTTAAAGACGCGCCACAAAAGCAGGTAAGCCGTGCGAGGAATACAAAGTGGAGGGAGAGAACTGGATGTAGAGCAGGGGAGTCTGAAACTTTGAATTCGGAGTACCTGTTTGATTTACACGCTGCCGAGAAACAGGCAGCTCCCTGCACAGCTCTCTTTAAGACGATGAAGTTGGTCCAGATTCAAGTTCAGTTCTTGGGGCAGAGATGCCCATAGACCGTGTGGGACAGGGTGGCAAGGTGCGTGTGCGCGCGGATCCTTCCTCTTTCTTACCTGTTCTTCCACCCCTCGGAGAAGTTGGCTTTCAGTGGGCAGAAAACTTTCTCCACTCCCTGCGGCATCCTCACAAACTTTTTAATGAGACATAAAAGTCCTATAAGTGCCGTGAATTCTGCAGCACGTTGGCGTTGCTAATCCTTTCTGCAAGCTGGAAGAGAAAATTCCATTGTGGATGGATGACAAACATCCTGGACGAGAGCACGTACTAATAAATGTTAGAGCGCCCCTTATCAGAAAGGAACACTTTTTTAAAAGTTTCTGCGCACGCGATTGTCTCGCTGCAAACACTGGGGAGTCGTTAATTGAAAGGTGCGTGTTTGGACTTTCTTTTTCTTTCTTTCCTCTTTCTTTTCTTTGTTCTGTTCCTATAACCGAGCTGACTTACAGACGCTGTTCTTACTGGATCTGCCCTTTCTCACCTAAACTTTCTCAGAAGTTCGTCTGAAGGCTCTCCGGACTCAAATCTCATATCTCAACGGGTTCTAGTTCCCTTTCACTGTAAGTTTTCTAGGCTAAAGGGAGAAATAGGAGGAGGCGGCGAGGCGGTATGTGGGGGGAAGCTTGATTCTTCGCTGGATGCAAAACTTGAACGTGGTTTTACAGTATATCTAAATCATGAACTAAGAGTGTGCGTCCACGTTGCGTTGGTTGGGTGGCTTTCGGTGCCGTCTTGTGTGCTTAACAGGCTCGTGTTCGCCCTCCACCATATTTCAGGGGCTTCTCTTCGCTCCCCCGCAATAAGCGTGCCTGCTTCTACATGTCCCTCGCCAGTGTTGTAAAGAGAAAATGGCTTGCTCTGGAATTGTGTAATTATTTTTAACTGCTGGTGTGGCTTTGCATCTTAAGTGTAAGTTTCCTTGGAGAGAACCTGATCGTTTGCAGTCGCTTTGGAAATTAGAGTGACTCAACAAGGCGCTTGAACTTGGTATGGGCGGCTAAAGTAACTTTTGGAGCGCTCTCTTGTTACTGTGGTAACAATACTCAGGCTCCTGCCGTCTTGATTTCTGTTTGGCACTTACATGCTTTTGTTTTTTTCGAAAGTGAATACTTCCATTCTTTCCCCCTGTTTATTGCATTAGTCCTAGTACATTTGTGCTGCCTTGACTGCTTTTCAGAACTGTACCCACATTCCTCCATGATAAGACCAATAATTTGCAACCAAATTCCTCCCAGTAACATCATTGTCATGAACATAGGCATATACCACTGTGGATCTCTGTGTTTAGGGATGTGGGGGAAGATGTTTTGTGATTTTAATGTTAGAAAAAGCTTGGTTTATTTAAATCCTACAGATGTTTACCTTGGTTGAAGCCCCAATGGGACTTAAATCTGAGTAAACATATACCACAAAAGTTGTGGGCCTACTTTTATTCTCAGTTAAACATCATAAACAAATAAGCATGCACAGTGCATTTTAAGAAACAATGGTATGGCTACAAACCATTAGAGATACAGGGAAGGGGTGGCACCCCTCGTCTTCTGGGAAAAGGGTGTTAATCCTCAAATCTGTTATAGGCTTGGCTTGTTCTTGCTGGCACAGAGCAGTTCGCAGTGGACAGCAAGTCCTGGCACAATAACAAAGGACAGAAAATAGACAAAGGAGTCCTTCATTGCATTACAGGGCTGGATCTAGAAGAGTAATTGTACACAGTTTGCTCCTGGTGGAGATCTGTGTCTGATCATTCAAGGGCTGCCAACAGAGGCAGAGAATGGATATTGTAAAGGTGAAATGATGACATCGGTATTATTATTGTGCTGCTTTTATCAGCCTATCCCAAATCTTGTCTTAAGCTGTATCTTGAACTTTTGACTGGTACACAGAGCAGTAGCTAGTAATTGGGTATCTTTCCCACCTGTTTTTAGCTCTGTTATGTAAATACTGTTTCTTATGGTTGGAGACATGCAAGGACTCATACACACTGACTGATAACCAATGGCAGTGTTGTCTGTTCCATTATTTCTAAGGCTGAGAAACTCAAGACATTTTTTCATGAGTGACTACAAATAACAGATCCTAGAAGTGCATAAGAAATCCCTTGGAAATGCTCTATAGCTTTAATTTAGGGAATGGGTCTATAGGGTACCCATCTTGCTTGCAGAAGGTTCGTTCCCCAGAATGCCCAGGTAGGGCTTGGAAAGACCTGCCTAGAACCCCAGAGAACCACAGACACTCAACAATGACTGTAGAATGGACTGAGTCAATTAATGTAGGCAACTTCCTACGTTACTAACTATCCAGTATATTCAAAAACAGCCTCCACAGAGTTGTACTGGTGATTACACTTTCCTCCTTTTCCTGTTACTATGTATTTGAAAACCATTCTAGTCTGGCATACTGCTCGACAAGTTCTTTTCAAATGAATGACTTCAGTTAATTTAAGGAAGAGAACTAAGGTGTTTCCAAACAAGGCATCATCCTACCTCTTTTGCTGAATTTTGTGGTGGAATTTTCTTTCTAAATGTAACAACTCCTAAGCCTCTCATGTCCCCCACCCCAATTTTCCATAAATGCCTTCTGATTCACTAATTAGTTCTTTGTTTAGAAGTTCTTTGTTTGGAAGTAGTAAAGTACAGACACTATCAAATCTATAATATATACATGTTTTGTAGATTGTCAGGCACTTTTTGTTCCATTGCAGAACTGGATTTTGCAAAAATCTGTGTATGTGCATTTGTGAAAATTCAGATTTGTACAAATTCATATTCCAAAAAAATGCATGAATCCTCAGACTGCACAAATTCCCCCAAAGTGTGTGTTTAGCCTAAGATGGAAATAGGTGCTTGGTCTGTGTATGTCTTTGTGTGTTTTAAGCTATCTTTAGATTTATCATGACCAAACCTACATAAAATGATGAAACATTTCTTCAAGGTCCACAAGTTCTGGACATCTGTGCAACATGGGATAAGCCCATCTCCTATAGAATCCATAGGTTGGCTTCTTAGAAATCTAAGAACTCATTGAGTCCATTATGAATTTCTCCAACATCCCTTTTTGGAAGCACCCATACATACTCATGTTAACACAGTAGTACTTAGATTCCAGGATTGTTGTTTTGTTTCTTGTAACTGCATAAACCCCATTTAATCCTGCATTAAGTTTCCAAGAGTGGGCAGCCAACTGTTCACGAGCAGCTTATACACAGGATATGAAAGCAACACCTCTTCCCCGTTCTGCATTCCCTGCCACCATCTACTATTTAGCCAGATACTATCTGTGACAGTAGAGGCTCCACTGAGTTATCATAGCAATGGGAAGGGCCATAGCTCAGGGGCAGAGCACATGTTTTGCATGCAGAATATCGCAGAATCAAATGCCAGCATCTCCTAGAAGTGAAGGATAAACTCCTGCCTAAAACCTTGGACAGCCACTGCTAGTCAGTGTTGATAATACTAGGGTAGCTAGACCAAGGGTCTGACTCAGTATAAGCCAGTTTCCTGTATGTAGACTGTTATTTGTGACTACGTGTGTTATTAAAGGTACCGCTAGAACTAAGGATCAGTCATGTGCTTTGGAATTCGTTATGCAGTAGAATGGAGAGATGATTGTATATTGACTGTTCGTTTATGCAAAGTAAGGAATATGTTGAGTTTTGTAGCTTTCAGAAGCTGTGGATGCATGGACTCACAGGAATGTGAATTGCAGCCTCATGCGGATCATTGATTTGGAGCATGTTGTGATTTGTGGGGGTGATCCTTTTAGGAAAAGCACTAATATGATTGCTATATTATGAGTACAAAATCACATCAGCAGGCTTACCTAGCATTTGTTGAGAGAGTGCATGACTGGAGCTGTTTCCAAAAAGAGTGATGAGCATAGAATCATAGAACTGTAGAGATGAAAGGGGCCAAGAAGGCCACTGGGTCCAACCGCATAGTTAGTGCAGGTGTTAAACTATCCCTTTCATATGGCTGTTCAGCTGCATTTTCAGTGTGATCAGTGACAGTTTACTGTTGCATCTAATGGAGTTTTTAGTCTTTCCCAGAAGCATGTGGCACAGTCTACATAACTGATCCAACTGGGGTTTTCTTCCTAAATATGTTCCTTACCCTGAAGTTCCTTACCCTGAAGCAGCACATGAATTTCTGGTTTTCTTATGGCATGCTGTAATCTGGATGTTCATAGTCTGTTTCCTCTCCTTGCATGGAGCAATTGGTTAGAAATATTTGGCTATAGAATATGCCTTATTGAATGGGATTGCACTGGAAAATTATCTTCATTTGATTCTCTGAACTGCATAATTTTAAGGCATTCTTGCAAACAAGACAAACTCTGTAGGAGGTAGAATAAATTCAGATCTTTAACAAAATCAAATGTTCTACCTTTATGAAATGCTTTCAGCCACATGTGGGAAACAAGACTTCAGCTGAAAGCATAACACATGTGTGCCTGCTGTTTCAATGTCAAAGTGTACGTGTAATAGCACATTCATGGACAGTGTTCCAACAGCTATGTAGCCAAAAGGAGACCAATGGTGAACAAGCCAGGTGTCAGCATGCACAGGGCAACCCCAAGGTGTGAAGAAGAGCAAACACACCAGAACATAAGGGTGTGGCTCCCCATACATTCCAATGAGCAAGTTAACTAGCTACAGAATATTTGAACATCTGGTGAGAGAAATGACAAACTGGGAGAGACAATATAGAATGCCATGGAAAAGCCTGGAAGAGGGTCTAACTGGATGATGTATTGGAAGAAGCATTCTGTGTGTCATTATTTTGTTCTAGGTTCTGCTTGTGCAATGGTT